AAGAACAAGTCTACATAATATTCTAATCTAATAAAGATGTGTGAAGATGTAAGTGTGTTTTAATTTTCACTATTGTGGATTTTAACACATTTTCAGAAAAGGCGAATTTCTATTGGTTTGGTGTTTCTTTCTTGATACATGAGTCAACTGGTATTTGACCACAAAGGAAAGAGGGTCATCCTTTGACTTTGGTCTCAGACAGTGACATGGAAACCATAGGTGATGGAAGGTCTCTGGAAGGATTTGTGTTGCCTATTAATGGCTTGGCTACGGTCACTTACAGAAAGGAGATAGCATCTTCCCTTTTGGGAAAATATTTTTCTTAATGACAATGTCCCTTATGCACTCTTCTCTTTTTTCCCCCCAAATCTCAGCCTCATAGCCTTCTTAATTACCCAATCTTCTATTTTTTGTCTTTTATTTTGTTAGCGTCTACCAACTCTGTGCTTTAGCCTAACACTGGAGCAAAGAATTAGCTTACAATTTGGGACAAGGTAAAACACTGCTGAGTGTGGTCTTCAATGCCACAAGTACTTGGTGGTCTTTCCTTTCCCCGGGTTGGTTATCCCCAACATCACCTCCCCGCACCCCGCCCCGTTTCCTGTGCACCCTCTGCACGTCCTCTCACAACATTGTAAATGCTAAATCCTTTGCCATAGCATTAGGCTGGGGGGCCTGTGAAGGCCAGTCAGCTTTGCTCTTCCCATCTCGCCTTTAAGTGCCTCTTGGTGACTCTACAGACATAGACATAGACGTGTGAGAGTAAGAGACTGAATGAAACGTGACTGATACTAGAGCAGAGCTGTTTCCCTTTATCTAGGGCAGTAGACGTTCCTGCTTATCTTCCATCAGTGGAGATACATTTTTTGGGCCTTTATTTCCTGCTTTGATGACAGATGATGTACTATCATTACCTTGTCATAGCAGATATTTCACAATTTTTAAACGGGTTCATGTATCTTTTATGTCTGAAAATGACAAATCTTCATCCCTTCGAGAAACTGGGAAACACATGAACTCATCTCTCCCAACCCCAATTTGTTACAAAAAGAACCTATGGAGATTCCCCCAACCCTGACTTAGCTCCGGAAACGTAAGAGAGCTGCTCCCAGGCACGTGCCCTGGTTCTCAGTCACCTTTGTCCTCCATGTCAACTTTTAGTTAGGAGTCAGAGCGTCAGGCACTGAATCCATGTTTGAAGACTTCACTCTCACTTTTATCTCAAGAGGATCTGTTTGGTGCTGTGCAAATGAATCTTGAAGGCTTGTTATTAATATATCTAAAAGCACCTTGAGTGTGGTGCAAGGGAAAGGCCAGAGTGAGGAGAACTTGCCTATGCATGGGGTGGACGAGGGCCCTGCCCCTGGGTAGGAGGGTCTTGCATTTGAAGGCTTCAAATTCAGCCAGTTCAGTGCTATTTATAGAGAGCTTTTCTTCCAGCCTTGGCTTTAAGCAAATCAGGGGTGTCTCACTTTCTTTTAGCACTCTCATAATTGTTCACTTTGAATAAAATAGTTATCTCACCTGCAGATACCCCCTTGGAACATTATAAAGGCATACTTTTTTCTGGAAGAGGTATCAGAAACCACCTCTATCCTCCTTCTCTGCTTCCTCCTTCTTAATCTTCTTCATAACTATCCTCATCACCACTATCATCACCATCCTCATCTTCACCACCATCCTCATCTTCATCACCATCAGCACCATCATCCTTTTCAAGTACCCTCCCATCTGTGAACTCATTTTGGTCATGTCAGCAACTCTAGCTTGCAGGCCAGTAGGGATTAAATACGCTCATGTTGGAGATATGAGAACTGGGTTCACACTGGTACGTCTACTTGTCCGAGACGCAGACAGAGGCAAGGATAAGGCCCAGCTGCCTCTCTTCTGATGGTAGTGAGGCAGCAGAGAAGCTTTCTTGGGAAAATAATGAGGGGGACAAGTGGGAGGAGATGGGAAAGATAAGAAACTGGGAGAACCCAGAGTTAAGTCTTAAAGAAGTGCGGCTCAGACTGGGGACTCCTAGTACTAAGGGACTGAGCAGGCCACACTCTTCTGGACTTAGAATTTGATCTGAGGGGCTCCTGCAGGTTGCAGAGAATCCCCGTGAATGGCCACCCCTTTACTACTCTGGAGTCATGGTTTCTATATACCGTCTACAGATAAACAGGGCTGCTAAATGTTTTTGTTATTATTGCTGTTGTGTTTTGAGCTGGGAGGTCTAAGTGGCAATGTCAAGGCTTTCGTGCCTTTCAGGTACAGAATGATACTGGCCATGGGAGAGGAATGTGGGGGCATTGATACCTGCACTATGTGGAATGATGAATTCGCCTCTTCACATCCCTGAACCACACACGGCAGCTTTTCCAGAGCCACGAATCATCCATTCCAGGGGAGGGAGGGGGATAGAAAATTAAATATAATTTACATTTTGCTAATTGAAATCAAATACAAAATTCAATCTCCTGTGAGTTGCAATGCTCACATTCAAAGAGGGTGCAGGTATTATTAACCCGGCTCTATTTGAGCAAGTTGACTTAGCGTTTCTGGATAGAAAATAATTCCTTCGTCAAGTCTCCCTATTGAAGAAGGGGACGTGGCTTAGTGACTCCCTCCCAGAGTGACAAGGATCAAGCCAGAGTAGACGCTGCAGAAAATAGACCTTAAACATGTGAAATTTTCATTTCTTTTCAGAACCACGAGCTTTCAAATATATCCCCAAACAGACTCTTTAATACAAATATCCTCAAGATCCCAAGGCTTAGATAGGCCTCTGCCCTCTTTCTCCAGGGGATTTTAGTCTACTGTTATATGCAAGGGTATATAAATAATTTAAGGGGGATGGTCCCCACGTTTATTTCTTAGGGGAAATGGCTTATTCGCCATTGGCCAACCATATTAAAAATGGATATGCTTGTCAAATTTATGTGACATATTTATGTGAGGACACACACTTAATAGCTTTCTTTGGAAGCAGGTCTTGATGTTCTGGGTTTATGGGGACAGGTAGATAGCCAGGGAATGGACGATGGAGGGTAGGTGTGATTGGGGGGCTGAATGAACGTGTGTCTATCCAGAATGATAGAGATGAGAGTGGGCTAGTGTCATGGTCATTCTTAGCCAGTAGATTAAATTCATTATAGCCTTCTTAATACCAGATACTCCATTGACTAAGTTATGAGATCACCCCTTACCTACCTGTCATTGCTCCAAAGGAGAATATGTTCCTGCAAGGAAGCCTTACAACCCTGGCGGCCACTTCCCTTGGGAATCATTCCCACCAAAGCATAAAAGCAGGTGGGAGGGAGGAAGAGGGGGCAAAGAAATACACAGGCCAGACTTTGCTCCCGTGGTTCTAAGTTCCAGCTTCCATAGAATATTTTTGAAAGGATAGACACCTGAGCCCCACCTTGGTGTTTCCGATTCATTAACAGGTCTGAAATGGAGCTCGGGAAGCTGTACCTTGAACAAACTCCACAACTGACTCTGACGTGTAGCTGGGGCTGAAACTCATTCCTTGTTGTACTTACAAAACAGGGCCCCACATCGGCCACTTCCACAGTTCACCCTTCTGAATAAGCATGCATTTTCTTCCTTCCAATGTGTGTGTTTGTATTTTGATCTATATCTTTTTTTTTTTACTTTGATAGTGTAGGTATATCTGTTGCCTTCAGTTCAATAACCACTTTCTTATCTAGAAAAAAATATTTGTAAGGCTGCTTCTGAATCTGGCATGTCAGCCCATTCCTTGCCTGATTGGTTAAGATAGAAAAGCCGCACCCCTTTCAGGAGCCACTTTCTTTGTACTATTGCAAGAATCATCCTGCCCTGCAGACAGAACCCACCCAAGACTCTGGAATCTGGGCCTTTCTGGCCGTCCCAGGGTGGCGTGAGAGTGGAGGTGCCCAGCACAAACACACCATCGAAACCCATTGATCAGGTTGCATTAAGCTTTATAACAACACAGTTTTGATTTAGCGGGAGAAATGACAGTTTAATAACAGCTGAACAGATTTAACTCCCCCCACTCATACAAATTTCCAATTTTACTAGAACAATTCCTGGTTTTGGAGATCTGCAAACAAGTGCTTTATGTCGAATGGTACATTTTAATCGAATCAAACTAATGGGAAGAGATGCTTTATTCGGCAGCCCTTGATTGGGGCATTTGTAGACAGCCCTTGCTCTCTCCCACCCCCCCATAAACAGGATCTGACAAATGGAGTCAGCCCTCTCACCGCTGCCCAGCAACTGCCATCTCTGTGTAGAGAAAATAAAGCATGAGATGACCCTGAGGGGATGTGGGGGGGCAAATAGAAGGACGGCGACAGCTCCCCTCTCCGTGGCATTGTTAAGGATAATTCATAATAAGAGGCATGCCAACTCTGGTCTTTGACATTCTGGGGACCCTAGGAAACAAAGCCCACCCGACAAGCATGCCTCAGAACCCTGGTGCTTGGGGAAGAGGGTGTTCAGGTAAGGAGACCTCCCACCAAGAGGACTGGGTTTCTTCATTCACTCCCAGATATGGCCATTCACCTTCGCCAGCCTCAGGGCTCTGAACTCTGCCACAACTACACTGCTCTGCGCGTAGCCCCGTGGGCCTGACTCTGATGCAAGGGCATATGCCAAGCTTCTCCATAACCAGGGCTACTCATGAAGAGAGAGACCCAACCCTCCTTAGAGGGGCTCTTAGAAAGAAGGCTTCCGGGGGTGTCAGCTTTTTTTGGTGAAGAACGTGCATGCCTCTGCCTTCATGACGTGGGGAAGGAGGAAGTCCAAGGGTCGTGGGATGAGGGCTTTAAAGAGAAGGCCAGAAACACCTTAGAAGGAGGACCTTGCTCCCTAGGAGTCCTGGGGCACTGAACCACAAAGTGCATTCTGGAGGTTTAGACAGCAGGCGCCTGTGCCAGGTACAGGGCTAGAACCCTTCCCAACCAAAAGTGAGAACCTCATAAAGTAGATCTTTCTTTCTTTTGGTCATTCAAACATTCATAGCACTGTCTCTGACATTGGCAGCTATTTATCCTCTGTCTTCAGATTCTATTAACTAGCAGAAGATAAGATGGTGGCCATCTGGTCAACCAGGTGCTGCTTCCCAGGCAGGCCTCATGCTTCCATGGGATGCCGTGGGATCCACCTTTTGCCTAAGCCAACGGCACGGGAGGCAGCCCCAGCCGGATGAAGGAGGAGATGTGCTTGGCACTCCGGCAAGTGAAGCTGCAGAAACTGGGGGATTCAGGACTCAGAGAAGGAGCCTCCTTAGTTATTCACTAGCCTTCCCTCCACATCTCTAGCCTCATTTGTCACCCTCTTCCTGTTCCCACTGGAAGTCTTGACCAGTCATTTGGTAAAACATCATGTTGAAGGGTTTGTAGAATTTCCGCAGTCTGTGGATGACATCGGGGTCAATGCGGGGATGAGTCCGACCTTTGCTCTTGCCCAAGCACCTGGGGGCGCTGCTGTCTTCTGGCTTCTTTAGGCAAGGGAACCCCTTGGTTTTGTTGAAATAGAAATGTTTCTCAGTCACAACACGCTTGAGGCCTAGAAAATCCTGTACTTTGGCCATTTCCCCGGCAGGGTCCACTATGAGTCGCTCGCCACTGACGAAGAGAATCTGAGAGAGGGGGAAATACTGGAGCCAGTTTTCCAGGTGCAGAGCGTAGATCCCTATTCGAATGGCGCTCCAGGAGGCGTCGATCAGCCCTAGGGTCCGGTTTTTGAAGGCCAGCACCTCGAAGGTGGGGATCTCGGGTTTCTTGGACAGCGTCTGGGTGTAATCGGAGATGGCCCTGGTCACGGGGTTTCTCACCACCACGATCAGTTTGATGTCCTTGGCCATGGAGTGGATGCGCTTGGGGGCCTCATTTGTCACAAAGTAACTCGGAGTCTTCTCCATGGTGATTTGTCCATCCAGAGTCTTGGGCATCACATTCCTGAAAGATGAACGAAGGGGAAGAGAATGGTTATTCCTGTTTGGACATAGTATGACTTCTTTGCATGAAACGTGTGATATAACCTAGTGAGGAGTCACCAAATGAAATAAAAAAAACACGTGCAAGTTCTTTTTACCTATTAATATATGTCCCCACAATAGTCTTGACTGTGCGCTATCAGAAAAGGCAGCATAAGGCACATTCTTTCTGGGAACCTTATACTCCATGGTTTAAATTGCTGTTCTACCTCTTACCGGTTATGATTAACCTAGATACACCCTTAATTTCTCTATGTATTAGTTCTATAATCTCTGAAATGGAGATAATCACAGCACTGACTTCACACCACAGCATAAGGATTAAGGGAGATAATGCTTGAAAAGCATTTAGCAAAGAATCCGGCATGTTGTAAGAGCTTAATAAATTAAGGATATTATTACTGTTGCAGAGGCTTTCAGAAACTGTTCGAGCTCAGTCAACAAGACCTCAAAGATTATCTAGTCCCGGGTTGGCAAACGACCACCCACCTCCTGGTTTTTGCATGACCCCCACGGCTAAGAATGATTTGTGAACTTTAAATGGTTGAAGAAAAACCAAAATAATAATAACATCTTTTGATGCATGGAAAATTGCATGGAATTCAGATTTCAATGTTCATAAATAAGCTTTCGTTGGACCATAGCCACACTCGTTCATTCACACATCATCTCTGGCTGTTTTTGCACTACAACAGCAGAGCTGAGTACGTGTCACGAGACTGTACGGCCCACAAAGCCTAACGTATTTACTAGTTGGTCCTTTAAGAAAAAGTCTGCTGACCCCTGACTCCAGAGGCATTAGTGTGCAAATGAGAAAACAGCAGCCCAGGGACAGGGAACGGCCGTGGGACTCCAACAGGCTTTGTGACCTCAGCAAACTGAATCACACTCTGAGGCTTACTGTCCTCATTTGTAAAATTCCAAAACCTACCTCTCAAGTTCAGTTGAGAATAAAATGACTTATAGAGTGAAAGCATCTAGATAGGCCTGGTTCAATATATGGGATTTTGTTCTTTCTTTGATCCTGAGGGTGCCCAGTGAGCCACTGATAGATCCCACACCACGGCTCACAGCTCTTGGTTCTCTCCGCCAAGGTTGCTACTCCACACCAACCCCTCCCATCCGTGTTTGCCTTCCGAGTGGCCTGAGCTTATCTGGGAGTTCCAAGATATTAAAGGAGTTTGATACCATTCTCCCCATCATCCCAACATGGCAGGCCTCTCAGTGATAAAATGGGGCTTAAGATCCTATTATACAGTCAATTTGCTATAGGCATATGTAGACTAAAGTTAATTGATGATAAACCTGTTCAATACCTGTTGGTACAGCAGACCATCTGCTACCATGTGCTCCATTAAGTCTATTCACTCCCAAGTCTTGCACCAAAGTGGTACATTTAGGATTACACAAGACCTCTTTGTTATGATGACATGCTTTTAAATGTCTTAGCTAATAAAACTTAATATAGACGAAGATCCCTTGGCTTCTCCTACCATAATTAAATTTATTTACTATCGCGTGTGTGGAGCAAGAATGACTTTTCTTTTATCTCTAATTCACATGCTCTGTCAATAATTAATTGCAACTGGGTTTTGAGCTTTCTCGGCAAGCACTTTTATTAGGCAAGAGGAATTTGCCTCATGGAGAAATTCACACAGAGCTGGACATTGTTAGAGTATAACGGCTGGGCAGTGTGGTGTTTTCGGATCCCAGCAATAGCCCTGGCCATAAATAATTCTGCTCATTTTGGAGTGACATATTCTCCAAAGTATTTTGAATGTCTTGATGTGTGCATGCCTCATTTGGCCCTTGCCAGATCAATTTGCCTAATTTGCAGGGGAGGGGCTAAGGATTTGCCTGAGTTAAGATTTGTGATTCCCACATCACTGTGATGGAGTTACTAAAACTGTTCTGAGACTTAATTTCTCTTCTAAAAAATGGGGTTAATAAGAGTCCATCTCTCACAGGCTTTTAACGAAGATTAAATGCGATAAGGTAGGTAAATCACTTAGAATAGTGCCCAAGTAACGCCAACGTTTTGTAACTTCAGCCAGCTGCCCAAGAGCCAAGGTCATTCTTCCAGCAATTCTTAGAAAAGGGCCAAGAAAAAATATTAATGCTTACATTTGACTGAATGGAAGAGGCTAAACAACATGGGAACTAAGAGACTGATCTAGAAAATGTATATTCTGATTCAAGCCAATATCGTCAATTGGACTTCCTGATCTGGAGGCTGGTGACCGACGATGGAGCTACCATTAGTTCAGCCTAAGTACAGGAAACATACTGATGTCCTATTTTTATTTCAATTGGACAGATATATTCCTTTATTTAATGATGAAACTCATATCATGTTATAAAAATATTAAATAATGTCTATGCAAAAAAAAAAAAACCACACCTGAAAATAGCTATTTTTACATGGCCTTTTTCAAATTTTAGCCCTTCAGATGTATTTTTTGTGGGTGCTTATGTCATATTTTTCTTTAGCACAGAAGTACCTACTCAACTTTTCTCTTCATCCATTTTTTGCCTTTCACTTCTTAGACCTCAGTGCCTGTCTTTACACTGAGCTCCATTCAAATTCATCTCCTTCAGCTAATTGACAACCTGTCAGGATCTTGGTGGATCTTGAGTCTTGTATCTGAAGCGTCTGGGATGAAATGGTACCCAACCTATAAGCCGGTGGATATAGGAGAGTAAGTGTGTGCCTAGTTCAGTGCTCAGTGCAGAAAGGAATTTGGAGGGAGGAGTGTTAGAAAAGGCTCTGTAGGAGGTGGAGGGGAGCAGAGCAGCCCATCCTGCTACAGATGGGTGTTAAAAGCATATCATTTAAGAGACTTCCTACATTTGGGGTAAAAATGGTAAGTCTACCTCAACCTTTGTGGCCTCAGTTACTGGGGTTATTTTGCCAGTAAAAAGATAACCAGTGTCTGCTCAAAATCTATGAAGTAGCAATTCTCCCTTTCTAAAACAGATTCTGAATCAGTCATATTCATTCACTCATTCATTCCATAAATGATCACTTAGCAGTAATGTAACAATGGACACGACAGGGTCCCTTCCTCTACTAAGCTACCCATGTAGCCTGCACAGATGACAAATGTTGAGCTCTTTATAGCATCAAATAATGAACTATTTTAATCAACAGAGCAGGTATCATTATTATTCCAGTTTTACAGAGAAGGAAATGGGCTTGGAACCTAAAGATATGTTCCAAGGTCTCACTGAGTGTTTCTTTTGTTTCTAAGTTCAGTGGCTGAGCAAAAGTTAATTCAATACCAACATTGACGCCTAACACCTGGTCCTGGCAAGTAGCAGGTGCTCAGTAAATACTGTTGCATGAACAGATGGGTGAATGGCAAGCCATTAACTTCCTATCCGACATCTAGACAGTGCTAAGGCTTCTGCTGTGGTGGGTTTGAATCCCTTATTTCTTTTCCCTTGTCCCCTCCCCAGGACTCTTTTCTGGGCCTGTGATCCAGCAACGATTTCTACACCATCCTGTTCTCCCTCTTGCTGTAAGAGGGGAGGAGGCATCTCTTCCACTGGAAAAGACACCCCCTTCCCCAATCTGGGCTTTGGATCTTATCCTCCCTCCACCTTTTCAGGAACTTTTCACCTTCTCTTTCCTAGGTTTTAAGTAAGTTCGTCTCAGCTGCATCCGACATTTCAGCATGCTCATGTTCTCACACCTGGTGTGCTCCAGGAACAGAAAGAATACTGGTAATGTCAGAGAGGAGTGAGCAAAGGTAAGAAGGTTAGACAATAAGGTCAGGGACATGTGCAGGGAATAGACCATGAAGAGCCTTATAGGCCATGGGAAAGATACTGGAATTTTTTCTACATGTGATGAGAAGGTATTGATGAATACTGCATAGGAAAATATGGTATAATTTACACTTAATTTTCTTTTTTTTTCTGGTGGCTTTGGTGAGAACAGACAGCAGTGTGGCAGGAGTAGAAGGAAGGCAATCCGCTAAGAGCCCATTTCAGGAGAGTGAGATAGACATGGCCAGGGCCGGGAAGTAGGTGGAGAGTGCAACACGGCAACAAGTGATCAGAATTGGGAGGATTTTAAGAATAAGGCTGACTGTCCTTAACAATGAGTGAGATGTATGTGAAAGAGAAAGAGAGGGATCACAGATGACTCTGAGACAGTCAGCCTGTGCCAGTGGCTAACTGGTAGTGTAGTTCACTGATGCAGAGAACGCTGGGAACAGAGTAGGTTTATGGGGGAACAGAGTAGGTTTATGGGGGAACAGAGTAAGTTTATGGGGGAAGATACCAGGTCTGATTTGGGACTTGTAATTTGAGATACCGGTTACATGCCCAAGGAGAGGTGTTCAGTAATCACCTTGATCCAGGAAGCTGAAATCCAGGGGAAACTCAGGTTGGACATTTATGACATGTGTTCATGTTCCACCTACCAGGGAGCAGGGAGAGGAGTGACTGTCACTCTTTACTGCCACTAGTATAAGATAGGGCCTACCCTTTGCCTATTTGGGGAGTTCTCTCAAATAGGAAAGGAGTTCAGATGCTAGGTGTGCAAAAAAAAAAAATTAATTACGGTAAAAAGATTTTCACTAACTTCTTTTAACTTCCAGAGTCCTTGATAACTACCAACATTACAGAGCTTAGAATAATGTCATAATATGGTTTGTTTCCACACCCTTCATGGCTAGTCTCAATTCCTTGAGGCCGCAGGTAATGTTTTATTCACCTTTGTAACCCCAGTGCCTAACGTGGTATCTGCCACATCATAGCTGCCCCATAACTATTTTTGGTTATTAGATGAATAAATAAATGACATATAAATGAATACATGGTCCCTAGAAGTCAGGAGAATTGGGGCAGTTTTGGAGGACGTGGCTCCTCCAAGTAGGTTTTCCATGCATAGGGTGCAGTGTTTCTGAGCTTCCTGCTGTCCCAGTCTGAAAGACCACGCACTTCAGTGCGGAC